GTAGAAGTGCCTTGCAAGCTGAATCGTTCACAAAATGCTGAATGGAAAGGCTAATAATATTGATCATAAATCTGTTACTAGAAAAATTAGAATGAATTAATAAAAAATTGGGTGTTGTTTGCTTTTTAATTTACCCAAATCTCTAAATAAACTCATTTGGGATGCCAAGATGGGGAGGATTGCTTGAGCTCAGGAGTTCAAGACTAGCCTGAACCCCATCTCTACTAAAAATAGAAAATTAGCTGAGTGTGGTGGTGTGCGCCTGTAGTCCCAGCTTCTTGGGAAGCTGAGGCAGGAGGATCCCTTGAGCCCAGGAGTTTGAGGTTACAGTGAGCTATGATGATGCCACTGCACTCTACACAGGGTGACAGAGTAAGACTTTCTGTCTCAAGGAAAAAACAAAAGAAATTCATTTTTGCTTAAATGAAAAATTTGTGTAACTTTATTCTTTTTAGTTCTGATAATCTCGTACTGAACTGCAGGTAAAAAATCAAAAAACAATTCACAAGACTAAATATTTTGGTGTTGAATAAAGGAGGTTTTAAAAAGACAGCATCTTATATTTGACTTGCTACTTGAGTGTGTTCCTAGAAATGTATAATAGTTTGTAGAGATTATGTAATTTACACAGACTAATGTAAGATTTCCTATTTTTCAGAGGTATAGGCATAAGAATGACAGAACCAGTATATCTCAGCCCTTCATTTGACAATGTACTGCCCGGTTACTTATTTTTACAGGTAAGTATTTACAAAAGTAAAATACTTAGTGACATTGAAACATACATGAGTGAATTATTTGAAATCTGGGTTGTTTTTTTTTTAAACTTCTATTAGCATATTTTTTGTGGTCTGTTTACATATATTCTGATCTACCGTTGATGAAGCAGTAAGAAAAACTTTATAAGCACTGTTTTCTTTTTTTCAGTTGATTTTTAAATTACTTTTTCTATCCTACTTTGCCCAAAGGTGATTTAATAACTTATTAAAATTACTGCTTTCCATTTCAGAATATTAATCCCTAAATAATGCATGCATTTGATACACATATAAGTGTCCCATTTGTAACTTTAAGTAAGATTCAAGTGGTTTACTAGTATCAGATCTTTGCTAGGTGGTTATCAGTTGCTGTGATATAATTTGTTTTGCCTTGTCCAGTTTGTTAAGTACTTCCATGTACATAAACTCATTTGATACAATCTGCTGGTTAGGTGGTGATATTATACTATTATTCCTCATGTAAGGTGAACTTACTGAAGACCAGATGACCAGATCTGTTAGGGTTCTTGGCCAAGGTTACACTGCTGGTCATTGCTGGTACCTGAACTCAAACCCATGTCCAGATGCTATGTGCCTTCTTCTCTGCCCAGTATTTAACCAAAAGACATTTTATAAATCCAGAGAGTGTTTCCGAATCATCTCTGAAAAACAGGTGTTTTATTATCATATAATTGCACATTAGCAATGATATAATCTACATTAGAATATGTAATCTAATACATAGTTGCTTATGAATCATTTTGGGTTTTTTTTTTGCTTAGTTTTAGTTTTTTTTCTTGTTTGTTGTATCGTTTCAAACATTTTTGATCATTTGACAACATTGCCTTGAATCTTTGCTAGTGATACCTGCACCTCCTTCTCATTAGTAACAACTAATGCAATATTGTTTTTCTCTTTGCTTTGTAAAGGGCCAGGTACCCCCTCATCCCATAATTTAGTTTTGACTTTGGAAAAGAGAGAGGGAGCTAGTATGGTGCAATTTTTTTTTAACATGTTTTGCTACCTATAGCTACACTCCCAACTTGAAAGTCAGCTTAATGATGACTTTATGAAATATAAATTGTGAGTCATTTTGTGATTCATACTATCCAAACAGTACCATAGAGCCAT